CCTCCTTCTATTGTGTACTAGATGTTCCAGCTATTTACTCAAACTCTACACACTTTTGTGTCTCTATCATCATACAGGAAAAATTGAGACATGAGAGATAGAATCCAAATCACCCAATATCCTCTTATAAATTGTTTTTCACTAGCCTCCTAAGTATTTTAATCATGACCAGGTTGTAAACTATATGATTTGACTTTACAAGTCTTAAATTTATGAGGAAACTTTAAATCTGTGGATTCTGTGCAGATAAAGCTGAGGTTAAAGCACTGTGAATATTACATAGATATAGAAAACTGAAGGATCAACAGAATAAATATTATGCAGCACTCTTCTGATTGTTTTGAAATCTTTTTTTAATTGATATATTATTTCCTTCTATGCACAGTGTATACATTAACGATGTTTAACATTATATTTTTCATTTCCTTTGTGGTTCATTTCACAGCCATCCATTCCAGCAATGCTATTTCCCAGGAGGGAAAAATGTCTTATGACAAGTTAGGATCTTGTGAATCACTTATTTTATTGATCTATTTGCACAACTAGGATTTTAATAATTATCCAGATTAGAAAGGTGAATGCCTGACTTTGTTTCTCTTCATTTCAGTTTTCATTAAAGCTAGCCTCATACCATTACAGGCTACGTTATTTCTCTCCATTTCTTCATAAATCTGAAGGAATATGGAGAGAGCACTCTGCAGAATTGCCCTGTCTGTAGTATTTTAAGGTCTTAGGGGAAATAGTGTGTGAACCAGACAAAACCAAGAGTAGAAAGTAAATACTCAGAGACATCGGGGACATGACTGTGGGCAGAGTCTTTGAAGTATTTGGCCCAGGCCTGCTTAGAAATGCCTTTGGGAATGATCTTAAGGCCTTCAAAGACCTATTAATTCTTGCAGTGATGCTTAAGTTTATATTCTGCTCTTTCTAAACTAACCCTCATAGCCACAAGCATAAAATAGAACATGTTTGAGCTTAATATGTGTGTTAATTGCTGAAAAAAACTTTAAAAATATTATTATTATTTTTTTTATGTCTGAGCTCATGTAAAAAAGTTAACAAGGTATTCATAATTCACATCCATTGCAGTGGATAAAATTCTACATGTTACATTGCAGATGGATTTAGCTAATAGGTAAACAATATTTTTCTTGCAAACTTATAGAATGTTTGATTGGTTAAGATTTCCAATTTATTCTCAGAGAATCAATTTTAGTTTGTTTGAATGCCTGCCTTGCAACTTTCTGCCTTTTATTTCAGATTTTCATAGAGAGGATGAATTGACAGGTGAGTATCTAAGGGAGGAACTGTGCTTGATGAAGCCTGATTCTAACCTGCACTCACTCAGACCTGGTGATTGGTGAATTACCTTGGCAGCTGAGTTTGTGGAGAGTTCTACCAATGAAGCACTAGATTGATTATATACATTTTTAAAAATATTTTCCATATGATTTAATTCTAAATATTATTAATGTGTTTACAGCATTTGATATTTTTGGTACTACACTATGTTTTGGTCTTCTTTTTCTTATTGTGCATTTTTATAAGCACACTTTAAGGTAGGAACAGTGGAGTTGACATTTCAAAGATAGCCACGGATTTTGCGGTATTTCATGTTCAGGCTTAACTGTTTTCTTCCGTATTCATATCAAGGAAGAGCTACTTGAACATTTACACATTGAAATTTTCCTATTTTTCAATATATGTGCTACCATAAAATAGACTACTTTCATCTGAACTGATTGAGGAAATCTTAAAGTGTCACGTTCATATATGATAATAATATTTAAATATATGGTAGAAACTTACTTTAAGTAGAAGAGTACCTATAATGTCATAGCCAAATAACTATGCTTTCAGAACTTTTATTTGATACTCCCTCAAATAAAGGAATCATTTGGCTACATATTTAAAGGTATAAACAACTAAAAAAGAGAGAAAGAAGGAAGAGAGAGAGAGAGAGAGAGAGAGAGAGAGAATGAATTAAGGAAATAAACAGTATTATGAATAGTTTTAAGAAATACCCTAAAGTAAGCTAACTCTCGGTAGTCTACTTAGTATTATTTAACAATAGAATTTCAAAATTGAAGTATAGCTGGGCACATTGACTAAATTCTTATTGTGCTATCACTGTGCTATTTTTTTTT